TAAAGTATTAATTGGACCCTTCATCTCTCGAATCTATATATGTTCGTGAAAGATCCCTCAAGCAATGCTTCTAATTTCTCCCTCAACTTAAACTCAACCTGAATTATCAAGTCAAGTTTATCCATCAATCACTTTGCGTCCAATCTAATCTAAAATAATTTTATTTTTGACTAACTATTTATATAATTTGGTGGGTATAATACGACTTAATCACATGTTTCTTACAGAGATAATAATGCCTTCAAAGTTTTGTAGAAACTATTCAGATTTGGTATTTTTTGCTAGGGGCATTTTTTTATAATCTCATAAATAAGTTCAAATCTGCATAATTGTTAAAGATCTGAATTGAAACTATCTTGATTATAAAAATTGGTACAAATAATATTTTCTAAATTTGAAATTGTAGAAAATGGTAACTAAAATCAGAAGAAATTCCTCATATGAATTCGAATTGCAAACTATAGGTAGAAACTGCTTAATGATATTTTCCAATGTTTACTTGTATAAGTATCCAATATAACATCTCTACTTAATTGACTCGTTTGAACTATGGATAATAGTTGTTTCAATCAAATCAAGAAACATTATTTATCATTGTACAACATACAATTATGAGTAAATGAATTAATACAGTGCAATCAAAATGGTGCTGCAGTTAAAGCATTTAAACTCATCAAGTTCCACTACAAATTTTTTTAGATAGCATAAAAAAGCAAATTTTTTATATTTGAAACTATATAAACAGTATAATACAAGAACGAGATCATAACATGGAAAGCAAATAGAGTGCAAATGGCATCTTAGTACTATGTAGCATAATTAATTTTCTTTTTTAGTTTCAATGAAGTACAAAATTTTAAATTAATAAATTTTACAATTATAGAATTTCCAATTAAAAGAAACACAAGCTGAATTCCAAATTATATTACATGAAAAAATAACTATTTGAACCATAACTACTGGAATGTAGTCAACAGATCCTTGGAGTCAAGAATAATAGGGGAAAGTTCATAAGAAATAAATTTGACTTAAATAAAGAGATAATACCTTGGCTGAGGAGGAGAAGATGATAAAATTGCTTTTCTGATTATTTTAAAAAGTGACAACGTTATCTCAATTGTACATTGACCAGAGAGACAGAATCTCTGGGATGTACTAAGGAAAAAAATACAATTAGTCAGTTTTTTGAATTAGAAGTATTAAAAGGCAAACTATATGGAGTTTCTTGAATAAACCAATCATCAGAAAAAAAAAAACTACAATCGAAGAAAACAAACCCAAAGAACTCACCTCAATTTAAAGGAAAAACTATGCATTCCACCAAATATTTAATAGCCATAATAAAATCAAGAGGTGAAACCGAAAAAGAAGAAAGGATATCGGCTAAACATGGGGACATAATATGATAATGATTGTTCAAATAATAATTAAGTTAATTAATTGCAATTAAAATCCAATTATGTAAACATCCAATTAATTCCTTAACAGATGAGAAAGGTTTCAGGAAATTGGAAGGTTTGGATGTTAGTATAATAAATGATTAAAAGGACTTTTATGTAATTCTATCAAAATACAAGCTTTATTCAGTTGTACTTGATACTCAATTGATTTCAAACATTGTAACATACCAAACCTGCCCCCTAACCTTAAATGTCTGAAAGGTTATATAAGTAATTATAGTGAAATTAAAGTTATAATGACTTGTACTCAGTGTTCCAATTACTTTTCAAACACTCTCACATTCCCAAAATAGTCATTTCAAACACTCTCAATTCCCAAAATAGTCACACTCCTGCGGTTGAAATCTAGTTTTAAACATTCTTATATAGTATAAGAATATAAAAAGATAGATTAAAAAATGTGTTTATGATGCAAGCGAAATATTATTTGCAAAAACCTGCTATCCAAAACACTGTGCACCCTTTTGTGTATTTTGGATAAATACAATTTGTGTTTGTGTGTGTGTGTGTGTGTGTGTGTGTTTTTATTTTTTTTATTGTTTAAACAAATGCGCCAAGTTTTTGGAGAATTAATAAGCTAAGTTGCAGTAACTCAGTGTGACTGTAGAAGGGCTTCCATGCTGCGAGACTGTTTCCAGAGCAGGACTCTGTGTTACCGGAAGCAACTTAGTAAGGACGCCTTTTCCTTTGTTTTTTGAAGTACACGGGCAGAGGCCATGCACGACACTCTGCGCCACACGGCCGGACGATCATTCCTATTCCCATGTGCACGGGGCTTTCCCCTTCGTCTATATGGTTGATGAAACGTAGGGCGGCCATCCCAATTATACCAATCCTGGAATTTCTTCAAGAGCTATCTTTTGTTCATCAAAAAAACCATGTTCGAACTTGTTCTGCACTTGGCCGCCACACTTTTCACGTAATTTCCTCCCCTTCTCAGAAATAAGAACGGAGTCTATATCACCCACTTGACAAACTGATAGCAAGGCAAAAATCAACACGCCTACGCCACCTCCCATTCTGATTAAATACCCAACAACGACTATAGCTTTTACATAAAAATAAACATCAGTTGCCTTCTCATTCTAACAGAAATGCATCAACGAGAGTGAACTTGTAGATGAAGAAGCCTAGATCAGTTCTCGCACAGCCACACGTAACAGGAGGCCATGGCATCAGGTTAATCATCCACACCAAGAAGACGACCGATTCTCTCAGTCTGCACTAACCGATAGATACATAATAAAGCATCTCATGCTGCAGATTCCCCAAATCTGGGATTAGATCCACAATTCTGTGACATAACAGGCCATAGATTTATCTCATTCTTTTTTGAACAACAAACTCAAATTGTCAAATCAGACAAAAATGAGGTCATAGCCTCACAAGGAATTAATGCTAACGTATCGTTTTTGTTCTAACTGTGATCTTTTGGCTCTTTTTTTTTTTTTTTACTATTTTCATCACATTATCATTTATTTGTTTGGTCTTGGTCATTATTTGAAATAGCGACTGTAGCATTTTTTTTTTTGTTATATAATGTATGTCAAATAAAAAAGTAAATGACAAGATAAAAAAGTGTATTAAAAAATGTGTTTGTGATGCAAGCAAATAAATTTTTAATAAATAATTCCTACCCAACACACACACATTGTTAGCAAAATTAATGAGATAAAAAATAGTGCAAATTAATTATAATATATCCTTTTTATTCCAACTGCAATACCTTAGCTCCTTTTGACAATTTTGAACATATTATTACTGATTTGTAGGGTTTTCTATGCCGTTAATTTTGTTGACATTATCATTAATTGGATTTAAGTAGAATAAACTTGAGAGTTTAGGCTGCACGGTTTTTGAAATTGAGAACTTAAGGTGTGAAGTGTTCAAAATTGAAATTTAAGTGACAAAGTGAAAATGTTGCAAAAAGTGAATATAGTCTAGGTGATAACTATGATGATTTTTCAAATGCATGCATAAAAATTTGTGTAAAATTAGAAAAAAAAAATGTAGCAATTATGCAAAACGTGTGCCTCAAATGAAGGTGCGGCAGTTGGCAACTTGGCATGTCAAATGCCTGCTAGGCAATAGGTTCTAGAGGTGTAAACAAGTTTAATTTCGTACTAATCGAATCAAGTTTTAATATAATTTTATGAAACTTGAACTCGAACTCGAGTTCGACGAGTTCAAAATGTCAAAATTGAGTTTAAGCTTAAAAAATTTTTAAAAAATTATTTATTTTTTGAAAAATGAATAAAATAATAAATTTTATTAACAAATAATAAAATGTTAGGGATATATATGTGTAATTTTACTATTAAAATAATAAATAATATATATAATCGAACTCAAGTAAGCTTTCGAATTAACGAATTTAGTATTTTTAAACTCTCGTTCGAACTCGAGCCATTTGCGATCGGCTTGATTTGTTTACAATCCCACTAGGTACTTTACTTTTTTTTTTCCCCACCTAGCAGAGGAGGAATAGAATTTAAGAATCAGTGAAAGAATATAAGAATATTGGAACCTAGGACCTTTAAATTATGAAACCTATACTTTAACTACTAAATCAAGATGTTCTCGACTCTGCTTGCTAACCGCAATCTGCCTTCTTTCCAATGCCATTTTGTTCTCATTTTGGTTTTCTTGAAATTAGAAAGGAGGGTTATATACTTGTTAGTTTGACTGAGAGAAATGAAGATAATGGAAACAAATATTTTAAGGTGTTATCTTGCTTTGGAGTTTTTAGTGGGAAGAAAAACAAAGGAAATGGGAAGAAATTGAATGAAAAAAAAAAAAGATGGAAAGCGGATTAGTTGCACTATACTTTAGTTGTTGATGGTAAATGAATAAAGTACATCATTAACAATCGTGGGGGGAATTTGTCATTTTTTCTCTTCTATTCTTTTCTTTTCTCTTGTAAAGTCCCAAAACTGGGCCTAATTGATTATGAATCAACCCAAAAAGTGTGACGGGTTACTGCCAACATACTCCATATCAATGGGAGCGATGAGCAATTTCGGAACCAGTCCAAAAGAAGCTTCCTAGTGTCAATCGTCAGGTTTGTCTTAAAAAAAAAGAGCGGGACCCAAGAAAAATTGGCATCCCAGAACTCTGGGAGAATCTTTCGGTAATCAAAAACATTAAAAAAAGTAATCCTCCCGTCCTGCTTTAATAGTCTTGATTTTTTTTTTTCACATAATTTTAAAAAAATAATTAATTTTGTTAGAACAATCAAATCAATTTAGGTAGCTATTTTCCTAAAATACACTCACGTTAATTAGAGTATAATTTTATGAGAACTTGAATTAATGGTAAAAAAAAAGAATCAACTCTCGTTAAATGAGATAGGTTTATAGTAACAACAACTTACATTGAATAAGGATATTTTAAAAAATTAAAATATAATTATATTCTTCAATTGAAAAATATGACTATCAAAGTGAGATTGAGAGAATATATCCTGCGAGTCCCCGAGATAAATAATTGGCATCCCAGAACTCTGGGAGAATCTTTTGGTAATCAAAAACACTAAAAAAGGCATATCCCCAAGTCCCCAACCCAATTCCTCCAAGCGCCGAGGCTGCCAACCACAGACATAATAAATAATCCGTGCATAATGCAGACCAGAGGGCAGTATCAGCTCATCCAAATCCCAATTTCGTCGTCTTCACAGTTCACATAGCACCAATTCACCAGTCACCACACGCTCCCCACCCTTTGCTTCCACCAACGCCAAGAATAGTAGCACAAGCAACAGCAGCAGCTGTTCCTAAAGACCGAAGGGTCTAAACGACCCGGTCCAGTTGCAGCAGGACAAGGTCCCCCAGTTTGAAACATCCTAGTAGTACCAGTACCAGTACAAGTACAATATATAGTACTACTGTACTACTACTCCATTATTCTTCTTGCTCCAATGGCGGTTGTAGTAGCAAATGGGCGTCCATTAATTACGGCTCTCATCTCTTGCAATTTGCCACATATCAAGTTCTTGCTCGGTGGTGGTGCTCCCACCAGTTGTCGTACACCTTCCTTCTCCTCCTCGCTACCGAACACTACACTCAAAAGTGCAACTGCACCGCACCATCTTTGGAATTTTAAGCCCTCGGCATCTCGGTATCTCCCTCCTGTCCTTGTTTTTAAGGTGGTAATCTTCTAGTAGTAAATTTCTTGATATTTTACAATGTAAACATTTTGCCAGGCTGCTGAATTGTGATACATACTAGCGTAGCATGTCAAAAAGAGGGGAAAAAAAGAAAGAAAGAAAGAAATGAAGAAGACGTCTCTAATGTTAGTACTGATAATACCTGATTCTTTGAATAATTAACTCCATTTTTGCTTCCTGATTTTCCATTTAGCCTAAAGTTATCATGGATAGAGTTTTGATTTGTGATGCATCCCTTGAATATGATGGTAGCCCTGAATACAGCGGGAGTACAAGTGGTCCGGGAAGTTCTTTTAGCTTATCCAGACAACTTGAGATGAGGCTCCAGATTAGTTTGTGATTATGATCAGTAAAATGGTTTTGGAGGAATTACGTATGGTGCTTTCCATGAACATAGTGTGGGATTAGGCCCTTGATTGTTTAATTGGTATGGTCAGCAGAATTTGTGTATATATCTTAGGAGCTTTTGTTCATCTCAGAACATAATGTAAGCATGACCACCGTCAATGTGATACCATGTCGTTTAATTTTCATCCATTAATAAGGGAGATATATTGCCGTTGCTAAAATTTGAATGGGGAATATTGCAAGATGAGAATGATAATTCAGGAGCAGAGGCATTGCATTGGAAGAAACTGCAACGAATCATTGCCCCCCAAGGGCCTTTCATTTCTCTGAGAACCGATACTTGTCTGTGATGCAGCTGTAGCATGCTATTATTATTTTTTTCCTTTTATTACTGTTCTTTTATGATACAAGAGACTGCCGCCGGTTTTTAATTTAGTCTTGCATATGTAGCAGATTAATTATGCATTTATTCCATCTCATGCTATTGAAGTGTAGGTTCAAATGCTTTCAGCATCAGGGTCCTGAAAGTGATGAGTCTTCCACATCTAAGGACAAACCAGAGGGACAACATAAGGCTGCTGATGATGTAATGCAAAGTTTGAAAGGCAAAGCAGCTAGTGGAGAAATCTCATTTCTGTCAAAACTAGTGGTACTCCTGGCTGTGGCTCTGGCAATTACAGTGCTATCCATTGGCTTTAGACAGCCTCATCAAAGATCTCTGCTTGGCATTCAACATTTAGTTGATAGTTCATCTGCTCCCGCTTTAAGTACACATGCTGTTGGTTTTTCTTTTAGAGCTTTTGGATACAGAATTATACTTCCAGAATATGCTCCAGGGTACTTGACTATTTTGCTCACAAATTGTGTCCTTGTTTGTTTCTGATTATCTGGCCTTGCTATGCTTTCAGATGTCATATTACGTTGAAATAACTTAATTTGCCATATCTTGGGTACCTTAATATTCTTTTTTTCCAAATCTTAACAATATAGCAGAAGCATTCTCCTTTTCTCTTACATTTTGCTTCTTGGTTACAGAGAACAGTATGTTTAATTATCTTTAGGTCCCTGGTTTCAGGTGGATCTACTTCTGGCTTCTGATGGCTGCAGGATGCGGTCTTTTCATAAGTGAAGAGGCTTTAAATATATGGGTCTGTCCTTCCTGCTGGTACTTTTTTTGGGCAGACTCTTATGCTCTTTGACATCTGGACTTTGAGTGGGTCTTCTTGTCCTTTTTTGGAGTGCTTCTCTTTTTCTGAGCTTAACTTTGTCATCTATCCTGTAGGTTGGCATCACTTTAGCGCGGATGCTTTCACTGGATGGCACATGGCATTCTTTTCTTGATTCATTCTCTAGGAACGCTCACTACATTGTATCCACGGTTTTATGGGTTTACTGGTTAGTTGGGCTTGATTCAATTTGAGCTAATGAATTATGCTATGGACCTCCTCCAGTAATGCATGTAAAGCTGCAAATTTTTTTTCCTTTTAATCTTCATGCTAGTCACAAATATTAATCGACTAAAGGATCAATAATATTTGTCCTCAATATATTAATTCACATGGTGAATATTGTCAGGGGAGTTTGCATTAGTGATATGATACCATTTTACCTTGGCAAGCTTTTCAGACAATCTGGGGCATCCGATGATGTTTCTTCAAAGGTCTGTTTGATCTATAGACTTTTGATATGCAGTAAATGTAACTAGGTATTTATATGACCTTGAAATAGTAAAGTGATATGAATAATTTCTGTTTGGTATAGTTAGGAATTGGCAGAGAGAAAGCATTGAAAATCACGCGCGTTGTCCAAAAATATGGAAATCTAGTTGGTGTTGGTGAGTCTAAATAGCTTCAGAGCTCCTTTTTGCATGTTTTCATACTTGCAATCGTACAAATGCTGCTTGAAATGACTTGTAATATGAGCTTCTACAGTCTAATCGAACCAGTTCTGTTAGATTCCACTATTTATGTGTTATAGTTCATAAACATTTAAAAGGATAGTTAATGTTACCACTTTATAAGGGGATGGCACGGGCAGCTGATAATTGAAGTGTTGATAGTGGTAGCTGAAGTAGAACATCAAACCTTCCCCAAACCAGTGGAATATTTAATGACATTCTCTGACTTGCTTGTTTTAATTAGCATTCACAGGTACCCAATGAAAGCCTATCAAGCTATAATTATGCTGACTCTTACTCAAGAAATTTAATACTGATACTAAAGTTTGCCTCCAAAAAGCTGTTTCTTTTAGAAACGTATATTAAGAAATTTTGCGATAATATATTTTACTGGTTTTAGCAATCTTTAAAATAGTGTAAAAAGTTCAAGAGAAATGGTTTCGGTTATCTGGTATTGCTTTAAAGTACCCATAATAAAAGCTTTTGCGTAATTAAGAGTTCCAAATGATTGGCTTTCCACCAGTAGTGCTGCCACCTTATTCTCAAAACCATTGTAGAGTCCCTTGGTGTTGTTTCCATTCCAGAATCAGCATTGCCTGCATTGGGGTCTGCTTCTTGAGTACTTACTAATAGTTGCTTATCAACATAACAATATCTCCTTCCTCTCTTGGGGCACCGTAGCACATTTTATTTGACATTTCTTGAATTTCTTGAGCATTTGTTGGTAAGTCTATGTTTTCTTATATGCAGTTGAACGGTTCTCGTTAGGTGTGAGGAATCCTACAGCATTTTTAGCAGGTGCAATGGTTAGTATTATTTCTTCTCCCGAGCAAGATATTACTTTACTAGTACGAACTTTGACACAACAACTTATGTAATTGACATCTATTCTATCCAAATTCCTGTAAGCTATTATTTTGTGAACCTGGTTGATTTCATTATCATTTGTGATGTATGATTTTCTTCATCTTAAGGTGCTGACTAGGAAAAGGTTGTTACCGCATGCTATGCATACTAAGCTTTGGTGTCGGAGCAGAATGAGTTAACAGTTTGAAACAAAGCATTCCTTCTATCTTGATGCGTCATGGCAATTACCGATTTCTTGCATCTTGCTGTCAAAGTAATCAAGCTGGGAAGCTTCAGTCTATCTTGCATTTGCATTTGCACTGTAAAATTTTCTGTTTTGATGTCTCTGTCTTCTCTGGATGTTGGGAACCATTAGTTTATGCAGCAAAGGCAATATGATCACCAGTGTGGTACCTCGAATTGAGAGTGCAACCACTTCATGGTTCTTCTTTTTATGTTTTTATGTAGTTAGTTTTTTTAAAGTTCCTAACTAGTTTTTAAATGTCGTAAACTTACTTGTTGCTGGAACTCAACTATTATGCGGATTTTTATGTCATCACTGCAAACTATGTGGATTTTTATGCCATAACTGCAGTGTGTTTTTCCTGAAGTACGACTTTTTTGCAGGGTATATCACCTGAGTTTTTCTTTGCCGGTGTCTGTTGTGGTGGTCTTATAACACTTCCACTTCAGGTATTATTCTATCAGATAAAAGGACACCAATTACCAGCAAACTAGATTGTAGACTAGTCATGCAGGGAAAGAGTAAAATAGCTGTTCCTACTTGATTGCCCAAAAAAAAGAGACCTCATCTTTTATAGTAAAGTTGCCAGCTTGAAAAGGAAGGAATATAGATAATGCTGCTGTTAAGTGCAACTCAAGTTTAATGGTGAGGCTAATTGCTTCTTTCGCAAACAAGTGAATATATCACACATCCTAGAGATTCATATGGTCTTGCAAAAATAGTAACTGCATTTTACATTTATCAAAGCTATGAAAACACTTTGTCACGATATTTTTCTTCCATAAGCTTATGCCTTTTATTTTTTTAAATGACAGTTGGGGATTGGATTCTTATTCAGAGACCGTCCAGTGTTTGCCCTTGCCACTGTTGCAACTGTAGTGGTAAACTTTTATTTTCCCCGGATTAGCATATGGTTGCCTAAACAAGGGAATGCATTGCAAGGGGTTTTAGTGCTTCTACTAATTGTAAGTACTGCGCTGTTTTGCAGGGAATCTGGACTATCATCCCATATGCTGCAGCTGCTTTGACAGCATTGTTCCTTTATCTGCGACGTAAGAACTTCAGTTAGTTGTGGTTTCTGTTTCTAAGTTCACCATTTCCTGGGGTACACAGCCTGGAAACTATCAATACGTGCTTGTAAAGGGACTAACTACTGCAGAGAAAAATCAGGGTATGGATGGTTTTGCAACAGCTTGTTGAATAACCACCGCCAGACACCCTTTTAAGTGAAGGCTTTACAGATTTGGTTAGGGAACTTGCAATCATGCACTCACCGTATAATTGCTTGAAAGCTGGCATCTGTCCCTGTAACTTCCGTAAAATAGGGTACCTTATATATTCAAGGGCCAAGTTGGGCATGAAAGATCTTTTTGGCATATTGTTTTTGGTCATACCTGTTGCTCTCTCAGATTGAGTCAATCAAGGCAAAATACTTATTTACGGATAATAACTTAACAAGCACTATATCATACACATACTGCACAATTCCATTTAACATAAATTATGGTCTCTCAACTAAGCTATGGACCAAGTCTATGAAAGAAGCCCAGAAGAGGCATAACCATTCCATAATAATAATAACAACAATCTAAACTAAACGATTGCTGCGAGATGGGAAAGCTGGATGCCGTAGGCTTCTTTCAGCTCAGCCAGTACTTCTGCTATGCTTGGCCTCCGCAATGCATCTCTCTCAACAGACCTTGAAGCAATCAAAGCTGCCCTCCTCATGCTCTCAGCATCAAATGTTCCTTTTATGCTTTCATCCACTATCTCGAACGCGCCCGCTTGCAAGTATGGCTTGGCCTGCAATTGATGGTCAAAAACAACATGCTATGTCCGTCAGGAGCACTCATATGCACATAGAGATTGTAACGAATCAGCAGACACAGATCAGTGTAGAAGCACGTTATGATGGGATTTTGTAAACATGACATGCTAAGAAGTATCTTGAAGTGCCTACTGGTAACTGTTTAGCAGCATGCAAACGTTAAATTCTAATCAGGGATACCAATCTTAAATTCCAACAGTGTCGATACTCCTAACTTGCACAATCAAGGTTAAAAAATTAAGCATCAGATCATCGTGCACTCCCAAAAGAAATTTTGGTCTAACCAGAGGTACAACTATAGAAAATGGAAGGGATTCAGTCATGCAACAAAATGGATGGTGGTAGTTGAAAACCAATTATAAGGTTTCTGTAATTTTGCACTTTGCATTCTTATAAGATGCAAATCATTTAGAGAAAGAACTAAAGAAAGAGATCTAGTTACCCATAAGACTAAATTGTAGGAATCTGGAGAGCCAGAGTGAGTCAGTGGTTCTCTGCCACATATGAGCTCCAGAAGTACAACCCCAAAACTATAGACGTCACTTTTTTCTGTTAATTGTCTAGAGGAATAATATCTGTAGACAGAACTCGGTAAGATTGAAGAAGAGTGCCAGAATGAATATACTAAAAACAAAGCTCAAAAAAAAAAAGCCTCGAGAGCTTACTCTGGATCAAGATAGCCAGCAGTGCCTTTGACAGCAGTGGTTACATGGGTTGCATCGCCCCGAGTCATTTGCTTAGAAAGGCCAAAATCAGAGACCTTAGCATTCATCTCTGAATCCAAAAGAATATTGCTGCTCTTTACATCACGGTGAATGATCCGTGGATCACTTCCATTATGTAAGTAGTCCAACCCTACATTGAAACGACTTCATTTCAGATAATGGCTTATATAAAAGGAACTTTGTTGATTGCCATTGGCGAATTTACTCGGACTAGCTAGAATGGTTTTATAATTGATGGGATGATTGCTTCATTCCCTATGAAAAGGATCAGGTTTCCAACTTAGAAAATAGACGAATGATGGCATGATAGTGGGACACAACTGCGAAGTATAATTCTACTTTTGCACATGTACAGAATAGAAACCTGAGTTTCTCCAGTAATTAACAAGGAAATCTACGTGCACCTGTTAATATCTATACCTTTTGCAGCATCAACCGCGATTTTCAACCTGCGAACCCAGCTTAATGTTATTCTTTTACTGTTTACACCTGAAATAGTTATTTGTTCATTAATCAAAGGAAACCAAGAAATACAGAGACGGATTCCTGAGTAGAAGAAGCTTATATTACCATGAAGGTTATCAGACAGTGATCCACCAGGTAAATACTCGTACACTAGTATTTGCTGCTTTGACTCGTGACAGAATCCTTCCAAAGTTACAAGACTCTGGTGACGAATTTGTGACAGAAGAGAAACCTGGAAAATAATTTACAACATAAAATCAGGGATCACTAAAAGGAAAAAAGAGATCTTGTAAAAAACTTTTCCTTCACAAAAGATTCATCCGCAAATGGCAGACCTCATTGATGAATGACTCAGCCCCAAGCTGAGTTCTGTCAAATCGCACTTTCACGGCAACTAATTTTCCATCAGGAAGCTTTCCAAGGTAAACCATTCCGAAACTACCACGGCCTATGACCTCCTTGAAGTTGTTTGTGGCTGCTTTGATTTCTTTGTAGGAAAAGACTCTTGCAGCATTCCAGTTTCGTATATCCACTCCAGCATCTAATAATTCAGGAAACATTTCCGTTATGACATCTCATGGGTATTCTACCGCAGATACATTTTAGGCAATTTCTTACTTGGTTTTGAAGTGCTTTCAGGTTTCTTTCTCCTCGTGAAGAGGAGCACTGAAATTGCCATGACTGAAAAAGCTAGTGCTACGCCTCCCACTGAACCAAGTATAACTGCTATATGTTTGTGGCCCTTGCTCTTGCTTGGTGTAAGGACAGTTACTTGTGGTGTCTCAATAGTGCCTGAAATGTCAGTGCAGGATGATGTGGAGAAGGACAGGCACAGATTCCCTGATGCTCTGTCGAATTGAAAAAGAATCCAAGAGATGATGCATCAAGAGGCTCAGTTATGAACCAAAAATAAAAAAACGATGTAATTCACTCCATAGTCCATACCTGACTTCCAAACTTTCCCTGTTTAATGATTGGGGGAGCGGACCTTGTAGCTCATTATTCTCCAGATTCCTGAATGTTTCAAAATAGCAAATCACGTACAGATACAGCTATATGAGCCTCTTACCAGGTAGAACTGCTTCTACAAATGTTTCCAAAAGTAAATGAAACTATGCGTAAGTAACCGATAATGCTCACTCACAGTAAGTGAAGCTCCTTTAATTCTCCCAAGCTGTCTGGTACTGCTCCAAGCAAACTGTTGTTTTGCAAATCCCTTCACAGAGAATGTACGTCATCTTTCTATGACCAACTTCAATTTTATTAATGCTCAATGAAAAGGGAGGAAAATTCTCTGCGTTTTAATCATCAGAAAATTTGTCATAAGAGAAGTTCCATCGAATTTGTAAAAGACTTACAAAACTTGAAGGTTCATCAAATCCTCCAATTCAGACCCAAAAGATGATAGTTGATTGAAACTCAGGTTCCTGCAGCATTCAATTGCCAGTTTGTTTTAGGTTCATCGTCAGAAGCAACATAAGTGAAATACAGTTCTTCAAGTAGTAATTATACAGTTTCTCAAGATTCTGCAGGCTCCCAAGGTATTGTATTTCTCCAGGCAGCGATGTATTACTCAAATCCCTGTTTAACATAATGCCAGAGGATAAAAACAAAGTGCTGCAGATTAATATCTGGGATTGGGATGAGGGTTAGGATGAGATTGGAGCTGACGACATAAATGCTCATGGGTGGCCCATTACCGCTAGGGTGACTCTTCATATCATGGCAACAGATTGTGAGTGTGTGAAAAAGCTTGAGCCAGTGCTCAGTTTTTAAGAAGGCAAGAATCTTACAATACTTTAAGGTCCAACAGATCGCCAAAAGTGGGGCTAATTGATCTCATTTTCATGCTGGAAAGTTCCCTTCATAATGAGCAAAAGATTGATAACTATGGAACTTGACAGCAAGGAATTAGATTTAAGAAAAAAGATTCAAAAAATTCCAATGCAATACGGTCATACAAAGAAGTAACAAGATTTCCTTCACATTCTATATGTTCCCATGACTTTGGAGAACACGGATCTTCTTGCCATCCCAGATCCAAACCAGTCGACTGCTGAATAACCTGGAGGGCAGAAACTGCAAAAAGAATCAATATTTTAAAGTTTGCACCTTCAGTTCTACGAAGGGACCAAAAGAGTATGTGAGACAATGAAAACCATCCAACCTGTGGTGGAAGAAGTTTCTAAAGGAATATCTAGGATTTCATACACTTCGAGTGCATTAATGAGAGGGTAGTAGCTGATACTCTTCAATGTGATATTCAACCCATTGATTCCCCTCATTGTAAAGAAAAGAGCATTAGCATCCCATCTTTTCACAGTATAATTTGACTGAACAACTTCCCCATTGATCAGTACATCAAATGCTGGGGATACTGGCAAAATCCCAGCAAAGTAGAGGACAACATAGTAATCTCCCAGCCCATCGATAGGCAAATTATATGTCAAGTCAGCCCACCTTGCCAAGACTCTTGCAGATTGCAGAACAGCTATTGGAGGAGTTTCTTTGAGATTGGACAGATTGAAGTTGTTTTGAATATCAAAAGCTGTTGACACATGATGCGGACTGAAGTCCTCATCAGCATCCCAAATACGATCGTACTCGTCAAGAGGGTACCTTGCATTACAAAAAGAAGTCTGACATTTAGCAAAACCTCAAGTAAGCAACCAGAGAGAGAAGGAGATGACAATGGTCCTGCTTACCTCAGTGATCCATCAATATAACCAGTGTTGATCCTGTAAGACTTCCTAAGTAATTTACTAGTGAAATCTGCCAAGCCACTATTGTAAGCTCCTTGAGGAAGTGGGCGAAGTTCAAGGGAAGAGATTATAGGGAATCCTCCCTCAGGGATAGAGTAAAAACACAAAGGGAGAGTGTCTTTATCAACTGGCCATATGAACTCTTCTACCCATGGATCGGTTTTAGCAAGATTCACTGTCGTAGTCATAGCTCTCCCAAGAGAAACAGAAAATGCAGGGGGTTTATTGAGTCCATCATAGTTCTTGTACACAAATTGAGTTCTTACAAGTACCAATGACGATACATTCTTTATAGGAAGCCTGTAACACTTGGTACCAAGAGAATCCGGAAAAAACCGGACTGGAATTTGAGATGCGGAGCTACCATCAAGATAAACCACAGAGCTCATGTTGCCAGCATTTGTGTAAGCGCTATCAGGTATCCACGAAATATTAGAGGAATCGACATAGCTCACAGTCCCACCACATGATAAGCTTAAGAATCCTGTTACATCAAAATGCCATGACCATATTCAGGTCTTCTCTACTACCATATCCAGCAGATAAACAAATATAAATGCACATTGGTTACAGAAACAATACAGGCAGTAAAAAGAAAAGAAAAAAAAAAAGAAGATCAAACTTTGTACTTCCATTTTCCTCTCTTCCTGCCGAATGAAG